AAACTTCTAATCCTTTTCCTCACGAACGCGTATTTATGATCCTCCAGCTTTCCATATTTTGATGTTATAAATTTAATTTTGCAATAAAAATACCATAACTATGACTCGATTGTCGTGATGKGTGAACTTTTACTTATATACCTACAGGTTTGTACGGACTACGGAACCCTCGGTGCGCGAGCCAACTCGCACTTGACCGGTTTTTTATAAAATACGTCACAATTTTATTTGACTGTTTATAATAATAATAATAGTAATAATAATAATCCAGCTAAAATTGTTGGCCTCCTGTTGTTATATCTTACATTTTAGTTTTTTTTTCTTAAACTATAATGTAAACATATTTTCCATCACGAGGCCAGTGTTCTATACTTCGTTACATCTAACCCATTTATTATTACGTTTTTGATTGATGTATAATGGGCTTGAGTCATAGATGGACCATGATTTCAAACCACGGAATTAAGTGCATATTATTTGCCATCGATCTTAATTATTGCCACGGGTAATGAATTAATCACTAGATTGTTTATTTTATTATTAAAATTGTTCTAAATTTGGATTAAAAAATACAAATGTTGGCATGTACCTGTTGATTATTTTTATTTTCTGTACATGATTTGCCACTTTATTACACGTACTACAATAACAAGTTAATTATAAATAAATAATTATATTATAAATAATATGGATGTAATATATTATTCATAATAATAAATAATATTATATAGTAAATAACAATATAATATATACAATTTACGTCACCGTCACCGCCTCCGTTGCGATGATAATAGTTTGGGGATATCGATAAACGGCGGATCCGGAGAAATATTACATTTTACGATATCTTCGTTGCGACGTTGCGTACGCAAAATCGGTCTTAAAAGTACTTGAACGTTTTTGGTTATAACTTATAAACCATCTAACCAATCTGTTTGCTAATTCCTCCGTTCCCATCTGCATAATATTTCTGATCAATTGATACCTTATACAAATTTATATGTTCAGCCGTTTCTTCTGTAGAGGTGGCCGATGGATTAACAAAAATTATCACGGTATTTCAATGGTGGGTACAACTCGGTTTTCTGTTATTATAAGTTAGTGTCTACTACGCAATTTTCTTTTTACTTAGCTTCGCGCTGGATCGACAAAAGTTTATTTCGCAGATATCTTCTACGAAACCAATAGCTGTTTAGTAATTTCCTAGTTTTTGGTCGTGTCAAAACTTCATGCAAGATTCGTAAGTATTTGTTAACAGTTTAACACGAATTCAAAATGTACAGAACAAACTTCTTTAATTATTACAAAAATGTTTTACTGAACTTTTTGCTCGTCATTTTGGAACAATCAACAGTTTGCAACAGTTCATAGAAATCGATGACAATCGCAGACGGTGGTGGCAGCTGAGTTTAATAATAATAATATTCATGAAGACTATGATCTTTTTTTCGTTCAACGTTGTTTTAATTTATATTATTTGAAAGAAAGCAATTTCCTCGGCCACGATATAATCCCCGAGCAAAGAATTGAGTACCGCTGTGGATCAGAAATAAATAAAAAGAAGAAACTTTCGCGGGGGTGGCTACATATATAACTACATAGTGTGTGTGTGTGTGTGTGTGTCACAGTGTCATGATATTAATACAGGGTGATTCAACAAGCGTGCTTAACTCCCTTTTTCTTCTTCATTAATTCACAGTTGTTCTGCAAAAATCTGTTTTTGGAATTTATTAAATATTATTATAATTAAGTCTTAAAGACCTGCATATTTTCAAATTGTAGAGATTTTTGTGCTACTCATAAGTCATGAAGTTTCATGTAGAAATATAAACTTCTGTTTTTTAAACTAGAATTCCCCTTCTTTTTAATTATAAAATATGTAAAATATTTAACAGATTACTATCTATACTATAGTTTTTCTGAAAACATTAACGTATTAGAAATAAAATTTGAACGAGTCATTTTTGAGTTGTTTTTTATTTTAGTTAAGTATGTAGATACTAGGAGTAATAGGTCCTTGATAATGGGTTTGGAAAATGTGGTGGCTATGGTGATTTGAAAATTTAATTGCAGTTATTTATAATTATCTATCAACATTATTAATTTCTAAAAATTGTACGAAATAAATACTGAATCCAATTAATAACTATACACTATAACTTTTATTTCTGTAAGACCATTTTTAAAGATTCATCTTTAGTACAAAAAGTTTAACTCAAAAACTACTCGTTCGAATTTTAAATTATACCTATGTATTTAATTGAACCTTTGTAACATCGAAATGATTAAAAGCGATCTAGTGTATAAATAACAGTAAACAATTTGAGGGGGGGGGGTGTCATAATTTGAAAAAATGGGCTTCGAATAGGTTCTCAAAAATCAAAATTTGAATACGACCGCAATATTAAAAGAAAAACTGAGAGTGAGCATATTCGGCGAATCACCCTGTATTACAATATTATACTGAGACGTGAGTCGCACGGCGGACGGCGTAGCGAGTGGGAGAAAAAATATCCGTGAAAGCGAATCTGCGTGTATTTTGAATTCGTCGGGATTACGAAATGTAAAGAAAGGGAAAAATGCGTCTGGTCAATTAACGATGCCGGGGCGGAACGCGATTAAAACGGAGACTCATCAACCGGATGCTGGAAGGAGGTGGATGGGGCGCAATGAGGTTGTGTGGTAGGTAGAGGGGGTAGTGGTGGGGAGGATGTCGAGGGATTTCCCATGTTTTTTTAAATTTTTTTTTCCTTGCACGCTATGAGAAAATATTTTCCGAAACAGACACACTGGCACTGCTGCAACAACATCGACGTCGCAAATTAAGTGCCGGGATTAAAACGTGTAGAAAAAAGTACGCGGGGCAAAAATGACTGTGTAATATTGTATGCGCGCGCTTAATATAGTATTATGATACGGTCGACGGGAGTGGTGCGCGGTGAAATGATTGCTTGGAGGGACGTCGCTGGATGATGGTGCGGAGGGATGAAACGAAAACTGCCGAGGTTTTTATATTTATATATTTTTTTCTCCTTTATTTATTCTGCCGGGAGATTCTCCACGTTAAGTGGCACCGGCTCGTCGTCGGCAACGGAAGGACATTTTTTCTTCGTTTTCTTAATTATCGGGTTAAGACGGGGATCACTGTTTCATTTTTTCCTCTCGTCAATGAGCACGTAGTATACTGTGCATAATTCACCGTTAGGTCACGTGCCCGCCCGTATACTTTTGTGTATACATTTATTTATATAACAACGCTACCCCCGAATCCACCAAGCCCCGAAACTTAAGTATGCGTACATGACTAAACCAAAATTAAGTGGGGCCATTTGTTTTTTACTGCGTCGTCTTATAATATTATAATACAGTTACCCAGTAGATAATTACAAAAAAAAAATTAACAAAAAAAAAAAACCAACAATAAACTCTCCATACAAAAAAGCGTGCGTAAGTTACTAGTTATATAGTCAAAATTTTTACATTTCAGTAACGAAATAAACTTTACTTGCCAATAATATGACAAACATAACACACTGCCTGGTGAAAGAAKAGCGATAAAATTGCCATTATTTGTGTTTTAATACCTATGTTATAATAATTTCATTATATTTTTAAATTTGTATACGAATATTGCTGTATTATAATTCAAATATGTCTCAATGCGAAAGGCACCGATTACGAACGGGTATAAAAATAGCAAGCTAAAGACGTTTGACATTGTAATCACTTGGAAAAAAAAATAGTTTAAAGATTTAAACTTTCGTTTGAAATAGGTGCACTGCGGTTAACTATGTATTATAAGAGTTTACAAATTTTATTATATAATGTTTGTTTTGACAACGGCGTTAATAAATTACTACGGTCTCACTTAGTCATTTACGTTGTTATCGTTTTATCTTATGTTCGTATAAATCTGACAGTAACTTTCTGGTAAATGTATAAGTATAATAGTATGAGATACTATTAGAAGTAAAATTATTTCAAATTGTTTAATCATCTTTTAAGGTTTATTTTTTGTATTAAAGCATTACCACATTTTGACTCTTTTCACACCCCGTAAAAACCTTTAAAATACTATTTGTTAATTTAATCCGTAGTATTGTATATCGGGCCATTGAGTTGAAAATGTTTTATGAACTGGATTTACTAGTTTGGGGTTTTCATAACGAGTGGACATATTATGAACATCATCCGGAAATTGTAGGTAAATATTTTGAATTTTTAAATTTTTGCAATGTAATAATAGTATAATACCATAGAATATATCATTTGAATATTGCATAATTATTGACTTGTCATTAATGTGACGAAAAACAATTATTATTTTATCAATGCAATAAATTATTTTTGCTTACATGATATTATAAACGAATTGTATTCGTTAAGATGTTTTATAAAAAAAAATAATAATAAATTAGGCACCTAGTAATTATATTTTTTAACTTTGTGTTTACAGGAACACAAACAGCAAGTGTGAGTGAGGTGATTATGTGATGAAAATATTTTTAAATTTTGTTGAGAAATATATTCGATTAAATTCAAATAATGTTTTACACTTTTCGTCCATTATTGATGCATGTTATGTTTATTGAGCAAATTTAGTACATTTTTTTTTTAAATGACATTTTATGAACAAAAGATATGTATGTATATTAATCTTAAATTATAATTTTTACATTATTGCGTTGTTTAATTCGTATCACTTTGAAACGCTATTAATTTTTATTTTATTTTATTAACAAATATAAAATTTTTAATGGGATTATGTACCTAACTTATTATTTCTATTTTCAATTGTTTCAATTTAAAATTCTAGCCCTGAACATTTATTTTTAACACAAAACATTACCAAGAAAACATGTAAAATATATTTGAAGAAAAATCAACTATATAAATCTTTAAGCAGTAATAATTGTATACTATTACAGTTCTATAAATAAGAGTATATATTAAATATTAAATCACCAATGAATATTATTAAAGTATTGACTATTTTATAAATGTTTATATTTTAGTAAAACTATTAATTAAAATGTTTTGATGGCTCTTTGATTAAGAGTGTACTTGAAGATATAAAATAATAGTAAATTTAGTAATTAATACTAAATGCATTATTCTGAAACATGAATAACCAAGCCTAAGCAAATAATAACAATAATAATAATGATTTTAATTATTATACCTAATATTGACTGAACAATCTGAAAATATTGGACGACGTGTGATACGTAAATTTATATAGATAAAAATAACAAATATTAAATAAATAGGTACCATTGTATGACATCATTTTTATATCAACACATCGAATATTATAAAATTAACTGTTTATTCAAATAAATGTTATTCCATTTATCGGGTTTTTCTGTAACACTCTGCCATCAAAACAAAAACCAGAAATTAAAAAAAAATTAAAAATTTTTTTAAGTTTTAAAGTTTTGATTCCAGTTTCTACCAAATTAAATTTTTCAATGAATCAAATTTTTAGGCAACTAGTTATATCAAGTAACACTATACATATAATAAATTAGTAACTATGTTCTCTTTGAAATTCGTAAATAATCAAAAAGACCGTACAGTAGTAATGATATAAATGTATTATAGTATAGAATATATTATATTTTCTTAAGTTATTTCATTTTTGAATTATTTATTCTAATTTAATTGTAATTTTTTTGAATTATGTACCTATAGATAATATAAGATATTTTTAACATTACATTTTGAAACATTATAATACTTTTGAGGTTTTTCAAAAACAATAATACAATTTTATGCCATATTTTTGTGAAATGTAACTGTGATTGTTACCATTAACCATAATTTTTCCTTGTATACTATCAAGAAATAATTTATTTACAATCTTTAAAATTGAATAGGCAAGTCTGATGACAAATTTAACAATGACATTTAACTCATTTAAGGTTAGAAAATTAAAGCTCCCAGCGGTGTCACTTAACAAGTTTTGGAACAATAATTATATTCACGTGTAGATGTAGAATAGATTGTTGAAATAACAATTTACCAACAAGCATTACTATAATTATTATCAGCCGTTTCTCCAATTTAGGAATAATTATTTTAGAGTATACTGAGTATAGGTACTTTCACCAAGTATACTAACCCATAATATTTCTCCTTTAATAATGAATTTATTAAAATTCTGATTTTTGGATTTTTTATAAATACTTAAAAAACATTTTAGTGCACCAACCTAGTTCAAGATTCAAGTTAGTAGTCTTTAAGTTATTACATATTGTATAAAAAGGATAATCGTCCTTCAATTTTTTTTTTTTTTTTTTTACATAACTTAGATGTAATATTGGATCTAATGCTCATTATAATTGGGCCATTTTTTACAGATTATAATTTATGTAAAACTAAATACCTACTTAC